CATAAAAATATGAATCTCTCCTTCCTAGACACCAAGAGTGAAATTAGTACCATTTAGTACTGTTTGAACCTTCATAGTACTCCTTTGCAAAACCAACATCAGATATCAACACCAAATGCCTTTATATCGAATTTCGGGATTCAGGTTCTATACATTCAGTCAATTTTGTAAAATTTAGTATTTATACCCTTCAACACTATGTGTTGGGGTATTATAAGTTTGATTGGGCCAAAAATTATGTAACACCTTGAAATATTGGTTTCCCACATAGGAAAGTGTATATGGATCTTCCTATCCCGCCGAGCTGAGTCAATCTAGCTATGTATGTCCGTCCGTCCGTCTGTCAATGTTAAATTGTAATCACGCTACAGGTCGCAATTATGGCCCGATCTTCACGAAATTTAGAATGGAGGTGGGGCTAGAGCCAGAATAGAACCCTATTGCAGTTGCTCTTCAGGTCCCAATTATAGACCAATCGAAGCGGACCTTAGCATGGGGCTACAGCTTAGGGCTGGGCTGAAGTCTTCCAATTTTGATGGTCATCGGATAATGTTTAGTGGGTGAAATAGACCATAACATTTGTGCTAAATAAAAGTCAAATTTTTCATTAAACCGCGAATATTTTCAATACCGGCGAAATCACAAATAGACGAACAGGTCAATTCTGACCGTTACGTAGATGCCGATAGTAAAATATTGGATATATATTGCGAAATATATACAATGTATATATACAAAGGAAGGGGATGTTAGCTATAATACTTATATCTCAAGAATAACTGTACCGATTTTGACAATTTTTGTCAATTCAGAATGCCCTCTTGGCATAAAAAAATTAAATCTAAAAAAGATCGCATAAAAGATGCCAATAACGATGCTAATATAGATTTTGTAGTATTTTGTGTCATTATTTTATTTTTTTATATTTTTTATCGCATGCTATTTTTTCAATTTGACTTATAATATTTTGTAATATTTTTCACCTTACAATACAGGTTGGGAATATTATATAAGTATTGCAAATATTGTCCGATCCTCACGAAAATTTTCACAAGGGTAGGGTTGGGCTCAAAAGGGCTAGGCCTATTGTTTTCAAAGATGTCCACAATATAATAAAAAATAAAATAAAAGTTGAAATGGACGAATAACTAAAATTTTTCCTGATTTTGCAGCCGTTATAAAGGTCACAAATAGAACCCGAAGAACACGAAATCTTGCATGAAGAGTTTAGGACAGCGGGTAGAATGGACCACTACTTTTGTGTAAAAAAATACTAGCATTACTTACAGGCGATATCCAAAATACACAAAAGGCGAACTTCTGGCTTTTTATGCTGATTTCGTTCACGAATATAGCTAAATATCGTAGACAAGTAAATCATATAGATGAGTCTAAATTTGGAGATACAGATGAGCTTCTTTCTTTTGGAGATGATCGCAAAATGAACCAAAAATAAACAAAAAATCCTGATCACACAATCGAAGCCAATCGACAGTCCAAGGAAAGGGAAGAAGTCTAGCATTTTGGCTGACCATTGAATTATACTTAGCTGTAAAATGGACCACACAACTCCGTGAAATAATTTCAAAAGCGATATGCTCTTAAGTAGTGTGCTTATGGGGATGTTGGGAATTCACCACGATTTATCACGGCAAATTCTATTGGGGATGTTGATTTGGGTAAATTCACCACGGTGAATTTTAATGGGGATGTTGTCTTGGGAATTGTACCACGGCAAATTCTATTGGGGATGTTGATTAGGGTAAATTCTCCACGGTGAAATATATTGGGGATGTTGTCTTTTGAAATGTACCACGGTGAAATATATTGGGGATGTTGTCTTTTGAAATGTACCACGGTGAAATATATTGGGGATGTTGTCTTTTGAAATGTACCACGGTGAATTATATTGGGGATGTTGTCGTTTGAATTGTACCACGGCAAATTATATTGGGGATGTTGTCTTTTGAATTGTACCACGTCAAATTTTATTGGGGCTGTTGGCGTTGCTAGTTTTAATATGAACTACTAGATGGCGCTAAGTTTAGCGCAGACACGATCCAAAACTGTGTATGGGATGGTGACATTTCAAGTTTTAATATTCACCATTAGCAGAGACACCCTCCGAAAAAAAAAAAAATGTATTATGATCATATCGAGTGGGGCTAAAGAGATTCACCATGTGAGAAGTGAATATAGCAGAAACACATCTGAAAGAGGTAAGTATCGAAGAAAATCATTTTATCTAGATGGCTCTCAGAATGCTTTTATATAGTCAACATGCTGATTACTGCAGTCAAATGTGCTTATTAATTTAAGTAGTGTGCTTATGGGGATGTTGGGAATTCACCACGATTTATCACGGCAAATTCTATTGGGGATGTTGATTTGGGTAAATTCACCACGGTGAATTTTAATGGGGATGTTGTCTTGGGAATTGTACCACGGCAAATTCTATTGGGGATGTTGATTGGGGGAAATTCAGCACGGTGAAATATATTGGGGATGTTGTCTTTTGAAATGTACCACGGTGAAATATATTGGGGATGTTGTCTTTTGAAATGTACCACGGTGAATTATATTGGGGATGTTGTCGTTTGAATTGTACCACGGCAAATTATATTGGGGATGTTGTCTTTTGAATTGTACCACGTCAAATTTTATTGGGGCTGTTGGCGTTGGTGTTGCTAGTTTTAATATGAACTACTAGATGGCGCTAAGTTTAGCGCAGACACAATCCAAAACTGTGTATGGGATGGTGAAATTTCAAGTTTTAATATTCACCACTAGCAGAGACACCCTCCGAAAAAAAAAAAATGTATTATGATCATATCGAGTGGGACTAAAGAGATTCACCATGTGAGAAGTGAATATAAGTAAGAGGTAAGTATCGAAGAAAATCATTTTATCTAGATGGCTCTCAGAATGCTTTTATATAGTCAACATGTTGATTACTGCAGTCAAATGTGCTTATTAATTTATTTGAAAACATATATTTCAAGAAATCGACTTCAATAAATGTGATATATTATAGAAGAGTTTCAATTGACAAATATGCTGCAATTATTGATATTTCAGGGGTTTTAAGAAAAACGATAACGAAGTCGAGTGGGTTGAACACGAAAATCAGCATGTTGGCTATGCAAAACATGATGAGATAAAAAGACAAAACTAACTTTTCGTTGTACTTGTTTTAATTTGTCTATAATTTTAGCGACTCAAAAATGTTCAGTTATTCCCATCGAAACGATATAGGCGACATCTAACGGTGAGTTCCATCCATACTATCCATAAATTATGTTGTAGCATAGACACACTCCAAAACTATTGAAATATGATCATATCGAATGGGGCTAGAGAGATCCACCATATGAGAAGTGAATATAGCAGAGACAAATTTGGTTAGTATCATAGTCAACAAGAAGATGTGTGTTCTATTATTTTGTCCAGATGGCTCTCCAGTCATTTCCCTCGAAACGATATAGGCGACATCTAACCACCAATTAATGTTGTAGCATATACACACTAAAAAAATGCTGCTGTAGCCAATCAAAGCAAATTCTTCTTGTGTGGACAGGCATTTTGATACATTATATCGATCGCTTTTTGATAGTTTTGTCGATGAAGAATTTGTTTACATTATGTAGCAATTTGAGAGAATTGAAACTGAAAGAGTTTCATGACAAACCCTGCATCAATTCGGTATTGAAGATTGAAGGGATTTGAAGAAGGAAACACCATTGTTTACATTAACTAACAATTGGATTTCTGTGAAATGGATATGAGAATTTGGGGGGAAGCGTTGTTGCAGAGTTTCATGACAAATTCTGCTTCAATCACAGAATTTCTATTTGTTTACAAAATGTAGTCAATAATGTATTGATTGGATTGGAAGAAATTTCAGTACTCAACAAGTCACAGATTAATAAGCATCGTTTCTTAATATTCTTAAAAAAGTTTTTATAATGTCTCAAAAAATTTGTTGGTCATGCAGCCTTTATTACAAGGAAAAAAATGAATTTGTGAAACATATGAAAAAGCATTGTATGTTTTGTGATGTTTTATGTGAAAGTGTAAACGATTTAGAATTGCACTTAGAGAACCATCATGGAGATGAGCATGTAATGAAACAAAATCGAGATCAACAACAAGAAAAACTAAAGCAGCAGCATGAAAATAAATCAGCTGTGAAGGTGGAAAAGTTTTGTGGTGATTGTGATAAAATTGTGAATAATATACGATCACACGTTCGTAGCGAAGAACATCGATCCACCGTGAGAAAAAATCTGGATTCTGACATAAAAATTGTTAAAAGTGCATTTAACAAAAATATACTCAGCTATGAGATACAAAACAATAAAGACATTTTGTACCCGATCGATTTTCTTAATGCTTCAAAAGAATTAATAATTAAAACCTTGAAAAATGAGTTAAACGGTAAAACGCTCATAAAATTTAATATGGAACTCCAAGGACTGTATGTGAAACCAAACAATGAAAAAGATGGACCTTCAACTTCCAAAGAGTTAACTATTGAAATATATTTAATCATATTTCAAAAACAACGCTATTAACCCTGGGAGATGATTTGGAAGAGGTCGTTTTCAACCACTGTGTGGAAATTATAGCTAAATCAGAAGAGTTCCAAGAAAGAGGCTCTAATTGGGCCCTGGAGAAACTTTTAAAACTTGACATAAATGTGTTGAGAGCCAACTTAACACGTGGCTCACATTATATTCCAACTCCGAAATCATTAAGCAACAAGAAGGGTGCGTGCCTTAACATCAAAAACTATGATGACTTTTGTTTTAAGTGGTGTATGGTTGTTGCATTGGGGGAAACTGCATATGGAGATCCGAGTATAACCTCTTCATATAACGTAGACATACACCAAGATGTCATTATTCTGCAGTCTGGAATATCGCTAAATTTCGAACAATTAAATTTCCCATTGGGTCTTAAATATATAAAAAAATTTGAAATGAACAACCCAGAGATTAGCGTAAATGTTTTCGGTTATGAAAACAAGTCGGTCGTTGGTCCATATTACTTAACAAAGGAGACGAAAAGCAATCACATTAATTTAATATTGCTGCACAACGAAGAAAATTTCCATTACATTTTGGTTATGGATATGTCTTGGTAATTATAAACAAAACTTATCAATCAAAACCATATCATAATAATCATGTATTTGTTCTTTTTTTTTCAGTCTTATGCGGTCTCAATTCACAAGTCATAAGGAGAAAGGTTACTTTTGTTTTGGATGCCTGCAATGTTTCCACGATGAAAATAAATGTATGACTCACAAAAAGCAGTGTGGAAAAGTAGTCTGTGCCCTGCCGAACAAAAAGAAGCCGTACTAAAGTTCGTCAATCACAAGAAAAAGGATAAGGTGCCTTTCGTTATTTATGCTGACTCCGAAAGTGTACTGGAAGACGTGCAGGAAGATGAGAACAATGGGGCGAGTAAAAAAACGGAAAAGGTAAAGAAGCATATTCCATGTGCTTTTAGTTATTTTATTAAATGTAGTTTTAATGAAAATTTAAATAAGTTATTTATATATAGTGGTCCCGACGCAGCAAATGTTTTTCTGAAAGAACTAATTCAGGATTGTAAATTTTTGTATGATAGTTACCTAACCAAAACGAAACCTATGAATACTCTAACCCCCGAAGAAGAGACAGCCTTTCTTAGGGATATCAATTGTCGTATATGTGGCGACATTTTAGGTAACGATAGGGTGAAAGATCATTGTCACTTAACGGGGCAATATCGAGGTGCGGTACATAACCATTGCAATCTGCAATATCATCTACCTAAATTTATTCCAATATATTTCCACAATTTTTCTTCGTACGACTGTCACCTCTTCTTTAAAGAGTTAGTTGAATTTGGAGGTGAAATAAGAGTCATACCTCAAAACAAAGAAAAATATATTTCAATGTCTTATTTCATTAATATGGATAACGAGTCAACCGACTCTAGTTCTTTAAAAAGTACAGTTGTTGTAGGAGAAGAAGAAGATTCGAGTGAGGAAGATGATGAGGAATTCCAGCAAGAAGAGGAAAGTGAGGGCAAAAAAGAGAAGAAAAAGAAAATGAATAGATTAGAGCATCGTTTCTTAGATAGTTTTCGATTTATGCCTACTAGTTTGGATAAATTAGCAAGGAATTTATCTCGAGATTCTTTTGTTGCTGTCAGATCTCATTTTCCTGATGATGAATCATTTGAACTTATGACTAGGAAAGGAGTATTTCCCTACGAATATATGTCATCATTTGAAAAATTGAAGGAGAAACAACTTCCCCCTATAGACCAATTTTATAATAAGTTGACCGATACTGAATGCTCGTCAGACGATTATAGGCATGCAACAAATGTTTGGTCACATTTTCGATGTCAAACTATGCAAGACTACATGGATTTGTACTTAAAAGCTGATGTCTTGCTTTTAGCAGACGTATTTGAAAATTTCAGGAGCTTATGTATGCGAATTCACGAACTGGACCCTTGTCAATATCTCACAGCACCATCTCTATCTTGGGATGCAATGCTACTATGTACTAAAGTCGAACTTGAGCTACTCAGAGATATAGACATGTACAATTTCTGCAAAAATGGTATTCGGGGAGGGCTTACCCAGTGCTCAAACAGACACTCGGTAGCAAATAATGAAGATGCTCCCAATTATAATAGTGCCAAACCAGAGGTAAATATCTATTATTTGGATGTAAATAATTTATATGGTACAGTTATGACTGAGTGTCTCCCTGAAAAAGATTTTAGATGGGTGGAGGGTTATGAAATGGAGAAATTCAATGATCCAGCTGTAATATTATCTATTCCTGACAACGCTCCTACTGGTTTTATTTTAGAGGTTGATATTGAATATCCACCGCACCTTCACGACAAACATAACGATTTACCTTTTTTGGCGGAGGAAAAAGTGTGTTGAAGGCTCAAAAACTGAAAAACTGATTGCAGATTTTACTGACAAAACATCATACACCATACACTACAAATTACTTAAGCAATCTCTGAAACATGGACTAATTCTTAAGAAAGTCCATAGAGTTTTGGCTTTCACACAAAGCGCTTGGTTAGCTCCTTACATACTGAAGAATAATGAACATAGGGAAAAGGCTGAAAATGCCTTTGAAAAAGATTTTTTTAAATTATTGAATAACTCTTCATTCGGTAAGACAATGGAGAATATCGACAAAAGAAAAACTGTGAAAATTGTGACAATGTGGGTAGATGAGGCAAACCAAAGAAGAAGGAATGTTGCTAGTAAATTAATCTCGAAGCCAAATTTTCACAGCCTTTCGATATTCTCCGAAAATATGGTTGCTATTCAAATTAGGAATGTCAGAGTAAAATATGATAGACCATTGTACTTAGGGTTCTGCATATTAGATTTATCAAAGTGGGTGATGTATGATTTTCTGTATGATTTTCTAAAAGTGAAATTTGGTGAGGATTTTATTCTAAATTATATGGATACAGATTCGTTCATATTAACATTTTACGGACGGAATTTGTATTCCGAATTATCTTTAGATGAAATATTGGCTAGATTTGACACCTCAGGGTTTTCAAAAGAAAATAAATATAAACTTCCTCTAATTAATAAGAAAAAACTTGGCATGATGAAAGATGAGAATGACGGAAAAACAATGGTTGAATTTGTAGGCCTTCGTCCTAAAATGTATGCCATCAATGTAGTTGATAGCGAAGAATTAAAAAAATCTAAGGGAGTTAAAAAGTCGGTCCTAAAAAAGTATACTATAGATAAATATCGAGAATGTCTTTATAACAAAAAGGTTTTTTACGGTACCATGTTTTCGTTTAGGTCAAGGCAGCATACAATATATACAGACAAAATTACTAAAATATCGCTAAGCCATCAAGATGATAAACGATTTATTCTAGAGGATGGTATTCACACCTATGCTTGGGGCCACTATAGATTAAATAACCTTCATGAAACAAATGTAAATAACTCAAATGAATCTGTCTCAATGGACTTGGATTAAAATATAAATTTAATTATGATTTAAGTTTCAATATACAGATAAAAGAGCATAGTAATAATATTAATTTAATTGTCTTTATTCACTACAAATGTCATCATATTAATATTTTCTCGCAACACAAAATGTTTAATTTTTAAGTAAATATAAGTGTATTATATTTTAACTAGTCTTTAACTATTCTTATTATAAAATAAAACAAAATATTTTTGTTTATAAATTTATGTAAATTGCGTTTTATTGAAATATTCTTGCAAAGGTGAGTATAAAATAGATTATACTACTTTTCGTACAATTCCTGTTAATGGAACGTACTCGACCAGACGATCATGTATAATTAAACAGTACGCAGAAGTGTTTTGTGGAATTGGTTTATTGGTTTCAAATTGGATTTTTAAATCGATTGGTCCATTCTTAACAGCTTCGTTTTGATTGCTAATGTCAATAACGGCGATGGGCTTGTCTTTAAAACTTGCATATGTAAGAAGTGGTTGTGGCTCCCTCATGTAATATGATTGTTGAAACTTTGTATACATGTCATATAGTACTGCATAGCCATTTTCTTCGAACTTTACATTCAAATCATCGTAAGGATAGGTTTCAGAGTTCAAGTGAACTTTGATGTTTTTAAGTTCGCAATGTTCCAGCTTGTTGTCTTTTTCAAATATCAAAGCAACATATCGTGGTCTTTCATGATTGACAGACAATTTAACACTCCAACTGTGTTGTCTTCCACCAGCAAAAGTTGGATTAAAGTAGCAGTCCCAGCTGCGGAATGCTAAAGGCAACGCTTTTCCATCCTTAATAGTTTTCAAGAAGCTGATTTTTCTATAGTCTGATAATTGAATGTGTTGTACTTTCCATACAACATTTGTTATGGTGAGTTTAATTTCCTCCGTATCCATGGTTGAATAACACACATTTTTATCGTTGGCACTACGCAAAAGAATCAAGTCATGCTTGCTGTTGCAAATTACTTTATCAAAGTCCTCTGCGAACCCTAGTAGACGGTTTAAGGGTACACAAAATTAAAGTATCCTACTGATAAATCATTATCAGCTTTCCATCCCGCTTTGCTCATAACCTTACTTTCGGATTCGCTTAGAGAAATCCAATTTTTAATTTCTGTAGTTATTCCTAGATAACGAGTACGATCAATTTCAACACCATTTAGTTCATAGCGAATTTCATCAAACATGTATCCCACACAATTATTTCTCAGTCTTGCATTTTGCGATACTTCTCCCTTGCTATTTTTCAAATTTCCTTCAATGAATAGATAACTCTCCGATGGAAGTATGTAAAGATCCTGATTTTGTATACTTATCCGAATTTCATCATTATTTTTAAATGATTGAATATATGGAACATAGCTGTGGTAGTCTCTCTTTACAATATTCTCATCCGAGAATGGACGCTCATTAATGTTAAGTATTTCAGACATTTGGTTTGACTTTAAGCTTAATAAGTTTTAAAAACTCTTTATTTTCCTTTGAAATTGTAGGTCTTGTCGGTTTGACAACTTTGTGTTGAATGTGTCTTGGTATTTGTTTATGATTGTATTTATTGTAGATAATCATGATTGCATTGGTCTTATATGAATACGTAGCGTGATTTCTTCCTCTCTAAAATTTATAAAGCGACCTTCTTGATCTACTATCTTTATCTCCAGACGACCGATTTCTTTGACGTTCACTGGTAAATAAATGAGATTCATTGGCCTCTCTACCAATTTATATCCCGGAGGAACATTAAGAGCAAATTCATGTAGAATATGCGTTGGCGACCCATTCATGAATGATCCAGTTACAATATTGCAGTGTATTTGTATGGCATTAACCTTTAAAATGTCGACTTGAAGGTTTGAAGTATGTTTTTTCCCAGATTCTAAGATTTTTTCGGTAAAACCAAAAAGCTTGCCTATAGATTTTTCTTTATCAAAGTAAATAGGATCATGAGAAGACATGATTTCTACTTTTAGCGTATTATTATTCGCCTTAATTTCAATGGATCTATTCTCGTGGATAGTTTTATATTCCGTTTCCAAGTAATTCGCAATATCTTGCAATTCATAGGATCCTATAGGTATTTTTATAATATTGTCTCCAATGTGAAAGAGATTGTTATCATTATCCACATTGGGTATTGAATTGTATGATTGGAAATCTATTAGGCAACACTCATAACTACTATTTCCCAATTCAATTGGGGGTAAATATGTTGAATGTAGAATTGGAGATTTACCGGACACAGTAAACGTTCTTGACATTGCAAAATTCTTTGTCGTAATAATTGAAACACAAAATATGCATACGTATATATGGGTTTTATTTATTTAAATATATGCTTGTATATTGTATATCTACATATTAAGATTATATGATATGATTCTTATCTATCCATGAATTATGTTTGTCTGAGAATCCCAGCCACTTAACCAAGACTTTATTACCTTTTGTTTTTAAAATTTTCTCAACTAAATACGTGTTGGGATATTTTGTGGGTAAAAGTTCTTCTTTGTAGAAACATCCTTGGATGGGATTTCCTTCATAGTCTTCTAATAAATAAGTAGCGGGGTTTGTTATTCTTATTGTTCTTATCTTGAATATTTCCGTAGTCCAATTTGGCGTGTATCCCTTTTCAAATTGATGTTTATATTTGCTAATGCGTACATGATCACCCACACGAAAGTTTTGTCTCCTAAAAATTTTTAAGTGGTTATAAGCAGATTGCAACAATGCCTTCTCATTCGATGAATTTACTTGAATAGGGGCCATTTTTATTGTTCGATGAGGTGTTTTATTGTATTGTTTAACCAATTCTCTATAAACGTCAATCCATAGATAATTCCCATTATAACTGAACTCCTTCCACATTAGCGACTTCAAAGTTCTATTAAACGCTCAACAATTGAGGCCTTCAATACACTATATGTGGAGTAGTGGTTTATGGAATATTTCTGCATTAGTTTTTTAAAATCTGTGTTGAAAAATTCTTTTCCATCATCGGTTTGCAAATTTTTTGGAATTCTTCCTCTTTGTAAGATTTTTTCAAAAGCCATAGAAACATCCGTTGCCGTTTTTGTTTTAAGGGCTTCACACCATGCGAATTTCGAAAATGTATCGATGACAGTTAACAAAAATCGGAACCCCTTGTTTGCTTTTGAGTAACTGCCCATTTCAACTAAATCTGCTTGCCAGAGATCATCAATACCCTTTGTAATAACCCTTCGTCTAGGAAAGTTTTTTCGTGCTTGATGATGAAGTTCATTTACCAAACCCCGCTTTTCCATTGTTTTATTCGGTATGATATATTAAAGCTGGTGAGTTGAATGGAGCTTGCGATAAGGCTTTAAATATTTCGTTTTGTGAACGTTTGAGTTGTGATATTTCTTCTCTTAGGAAGGTGCACTCTTGAATGAATTTTTTCTTTAAAATTTCTTGAATGTGCTTGATTTGCGTATGTACGTATGCTTGGTTGACCGCATCCGCTCCTTCTGCTGGAGATGCAACATTCCTAATCTTTTTATTTTGCACGTTAAGGTTGTTATCTTCATCAATATTGACTCCCAATAATCTCGAAACATTTTCTCTCACTGCTATTGATTGATTTTTTTGATTGTAATGATGTCCAAACTTGTCAACAGTCATATGTTGTATGCTCCTTGAGAGTATTATTTAATATATTATATTTCCTTCTCGCAGTTCCTCGATAATAGAAACAATTTCATTAGTATGGTTATTGTTTCCGGCTTGTTGTGATGCCAACAACAGCTTTAATCGTTCTATCAATTCGTTGGGATCGTCCCAGTATATATAGTTGGGTTTACCAGGATTTATTGTCAGTAAGCCTTTGCCGCTGTGAGTATCCTCTATTATATTTTTTATTATTTTCTTATATTTTTGTCCCCTGTTGGACTTTG